TCGGAAACGAGGAGGGGGGGGGGTTATCAAGGTATCTACAGCTTCTTCTCCAAGGAAGAAAACTCTGCGGAGTCAAAAATTCAAATTTCATCCTGTCACATCTGTGGAGAAGATATGTCGATCGTTCACGGTAGCATTGATGACATTTTAAAACATGTAAGAACCAATTAGCATGTAAAGGTAACCAAAGATAGCAGTACAAACTAAACCATCAGCTCCTTTTGTAATTCTGGTTTGTCAGAGATTCATATTGAATGCAGTTGTTCATATCATATGTTGAAAAACAAACACTACATTGAACACTGCTAAAAAAAAAAGATATATATATATATATTTTGATGGGCTATTTCATGCGATGATGCTATGATCCCTGATTTTAACAACATTCCAAATATGTTCGGACAAAATAAAAATACATGCTATATGGAGTGCAATGGCATTTTAAACAACCAAGAATGAAGCAGACTTGGTGCAAAATGGAGCATTTAGTTTAGCAACTGATGGTTCAAATAACAGTAATTAAACTGTTGCACATCATTTGAATCTTAGATTGGGTCAGGTAGAAGTACTTCTAGTATATTGGATAGCACTGTCTTATGGACAGATAATTGAAAAGACTTGGCATAAAGTGGGATCACCGTATTTTTCTCTTAAGGGTAATGAAATGCAAATTCAAAAGTATTTTTAAGTTTTTGCAAAAGTTAGTCTAAACTTGCGTTTGTGAGTTGCCATTGCCACCTTGCTGCTGAACTCCTAATCCAAACAGAAGAACTATCAGTGGCCATTTATTACTACTTTGGGCACAGTGTAAAGAGAAAGTTGAAAGAACAAGAAATATTTTAAGAAACGTCAGAGCTTATTTCACATCAAGGCATGACTGTACGTCGAAGAAACTGCCGTTTACAGAGGAAGTATTTCAGCAGGCACAAACTGTTGGTGTATCACAAAGATAATCCATCTCTTTCAGCTCAGTTAAGTTATTCACAAAGAAGTTATCTATTCTCCTGTAACTGGCCATGACAAAGAGTGGAGCTTGTTACATGACCACAAACGTGGAAATGAACAGTCAAGATACAGCAACTTAGCAAGAGTTGTGCTTGTCGTCCCTCACAGCAATGCTGAGAGTGAATGGTTTTCTCCTTGTTAAGATAAACTAGAACAGAAACAGGAGTACAATGAGCAATCACAAGCTGAATGTCTCGGTCGTTTGAAAGGAGAAGACACTGAAGTCAGCCATCTTCCTACAGAGACATTTCTAAAAATATACAGCTTTTACTTCACTGAGAGCATATTATAAACTCGGTAAAGTTCAAAATACAAATAAATTCCTTCTGCTTTTGATTAATGTTTTCAAGAAACAACCTTTTATGTGTAAAAATCAGCACAAAACCAAATGGATTAAATTTAGTGATTTGCAAAAGCTATGTGCATATAGTTTTAATGTTCCATTCTAGTGAACAGTGTTTGATATTTCTGCTACAACTCTTCATCTTCAGTCACTATAAATATCAAGGTGGGCAGGATGATCATGAGTACCTTATACTGCATTGAAAAAGTCATGCACATCACAAAAAACAAACTATGCACCTCTCAACTGCATACTCTCCAGCTTGACCCATGTATTTTCAAAAGTTAGTAGGTCTGATGTATCAAAGTAATTCTTCTAGAATGAATTATAAAAAAATTGTTTGCTGTGAAGTCGACTAATTCCAAGGTTCGATATAAGCACCTTCATATAAAACTACATCGTGTTCAGAGAACCAGAAGTGGGAGCAAATAGTTTGTGAATATGCGAATGAAGTGAATTAGAAGGATCAGAGATGGAATTAATTGTTTTATGTGCTTGTATGTAATAAAGAATGACTTTGTGAAGCGAGTCAAGATTGAAGACAAAGTGGGGAAAGACATGTAAATATAGCTGTCTGCTCAATCACTGTAAACAGAAGTGAAAAAAAAACACTTATATAACACTTCAGTACAAATGAAAAAATGATTAATATAACATAAACTTCTACAATACATAACCTCATGAAATCAGCACCATTTTATACCCTGAAGATACCACCAAATATTATATTTAAAGAAAGTAATATAAAGTGTCCATTTATTCAAGACACATGCCCAACTTCCTGCACCAATTAGACGTTCATTAAAAATCAATTATTCATGCCCAATAATTTCCTAATTTTAGGTTTGTTTGCCATGCTATTGGATAAAAAGTTGCACACTATACCTTAATCTCCAAATAGCCAGTAAGATTTAGTTTTGGTGAACTTTTCCATAGTCTGATTCCCTCATCAATTGCTGTTCTCATTTAACCTACTTTGAAATAAAACTTTTACTTTGTGTATTACTTAAATGCAAGAGGTTCATTAAGTAAAAGAACATGTGCATTGTACAAGACATTATATACTGTTTTACTTCACCAATAAAAGAATATGAAATATAACAGTTTGGACATACATATAACTGAAATTTTACATTCCAGTAAATAAACACATAATGAGATTTAACACTAAAAATATACCAAATTAATCTTACTTAAACACAAGTTTCCTTTCTATTATTCAAATAACAGTATTACGACTTGTGCTTTATTCGCACGTACTCGTGCCTAGGAAGTACCTTACTTTTTTATTACCAACTTTGACTTGAAAAAAAATTACAATAACTTGATATTCAGCTGTGAATAGCCTCGTGTGTAAACAATACAAAATGGGTCGCACCAACTAACTCCGAGACCAACAGAATATTTTAAGTGCTAAAAATAGACATTTCTAAACCAATCTTAAAAAATTCTTAACCTTTGGAGGTTAATAACTCAACAATTCTTAAACAAAAGTTTTATTAGACACCACAATATATTAAAAAAATTGCTGAAAGCACTGCTTTCTCACTTATTTTTCTCAGTTTCTGATCTTTATCAAATGTGTTGCTCACAGTATTTTGATCCATCTAGTATTATTATTATTCTAGCATGCATCTCTCATTTTTACATTTATACATGGAAGTAATATTAACACCTTGCCTTTTTGTAGGTACATTTTCCCTGCAACAGTGAGACTGATAATAAAAGCTATTTATATCTCACTATAAAAGACACCTTGACATAGTTTTTTAATTGCGTGTTTCAGTCAGCTCCTGCTTAATGATAAAACAAAAAATACAATATTTCTAAGAAAAAACGAACTTCATTTTTACAATGTCTTTGGTCACAAAAAGACAGTAAACTAATTATCTAAATGTATCCAAAGCAACTGGTTAAGTCTGCAACATTCTAAGTATATCCATTCTGTGGCCACTAGTCAAAGCTATACCATTATATGTATGTCTGTATTTGTTATTTCATTTAAATTTTTACGCCACTTTTCTTGCGAGGAGAATCGGTAAAAAGTCTCCAAATGTTCATCTATATCTAAGCAACTGAAAATGACATGCCATGAAATAGTAATACAATTTTTACATTGAAACGTTACATATATTACAAAACCCACTTTTAATAATATCAAACTGTTATTATCGGCATCAAAAATTTTGTTTATTTGTTGTTCCTTGCCAAATTAAAAAAAGTTAAGGTTAATAAGTTTGTATGCACTGTGTGAAGATGCAATATATATATATATAGAACAATAATAATAATAAGAAGCAGAAGTTATTTTGGTGTACTGGTTCCACCAGTCAAAATCAGAGTCACCCTACTTAGCATCTACTTGTGTATTTCATCCATAGGAACCTCGTGTGAGCTTACACTTTCTGACTGACCATGTCACAAACAGTTTCTCTATAAATTAAAGATTTATTTCAAGTTATATCTCTTTTTGTGAGCTTTTCATTCTTCTACTGGAGCATTTGAAGCCTCCAGCATAAAGAGTTGAAGTCTTGCCAAAAACAAAATCTTGAAAAAATCCAAATGCGACTTCTACTTAGTTTAAGTGGGTTTTAAAAGATGTAAAATGCCACTTCTACTTAGTTTAAGTGGGTTTTAAAAGATGTAAAATGCCACTTCTACTTAGTTTAAGTGGGTTTTAAAAGATTTAAAATGCCACTTCTACTTAGCTTAACTGGGTTTTAAAAGATGTAAAAGGCCACTTCTACTTAGCTTAACTGGGTTTTAAAATATGTAAAATGCCACTTCTACTTAATTTAACTGGGTTTTAAAAGATGTAAAATGTCACTTCTACTTAGTTTAACTGGGTTTTAAAATATGTAAAATGCCACTTCTACTTAATTTAACTGGGTTTTAAAATATGTAAAATGCCACTTCTACTTAATTTAACTGGGTTTTAAAATATGTAAAATGCCACTTCTACTTAGTTTAACTGGGTTTTAAAATATGTAAAATGCCACTTCTACTTAATTTAACTGGGTTTTAAAAGATGTAAAATGCCACTTCTACTTAATTTAACTGGGTTTTAAAAGATGTAAAATCATTCTAAAAGTTACTTGTGTGTGTTGCATCTGCATATTTCTTTAAATTACTACAGGTTTGGTATTGTTTACTAGTGTAAATGGTTTGTAATACCTCTGAACAAAAACTGTAGGTTCAGAAAAGTTTTACATCTGCCATTTTGGACAGTAAGGATCTTTGAACAAAAAAAAGGATAAGGATGATCTTTTGATAGTTTCTAAAATGTAATCTAATGTACTTAAAACTGTATGCACCAATAACTAGTATATTATACACTACACATAATATGGATTGACCAAAATGGGTCAGAATAGTTTGCCATGAATAAAAAAAATTAGCATAAAAGTAATTTCAACTCAGATCTTAGAAGTGATTGTGACTGATGTAATTCATATTCATCCATTATTAGAAAAAAAAAACTGAAACTAGTGTACCAGTTCTTTCTCTTATATAATTAAATTTTAGCTATTTTCACATACTATAATATCTATCAAATTACAGTTATTGCCACACAAATTAGAATTTTAATATTTGATTCTATATATGTAACTTATATACAAAATAAAATCTTCAATATCAACTCTTTTTTTTTTTCATACTTCTCAATCGGCACTCTACCATAAAATACAAAATTATTGCTTTTGTACTTTGTAACTAAAATAAACAGAAGTTTTACAGTGTTGTAACCACACTATATTGTTTTCACTTTCCAAGAGGTTTGAGTTCCTAGCCATCAGGCTAGTCACAATAAATTGTGTGGGTTAGTATGGAAATCAGAAGTACTCGATATTCATACACTAATGAAAAAGAGTAGGAACAACAAAGAAATAAATAACAAATGATTGCCAAATAATTAAAATCCCTGATGATTTTTTCCCAATTAATTAATAGTTCCACTACTGGATTTATCTTCAGAACTGTTTTCTTGTTTATCGCCGGAAGACTTTATTCAATCACGCTCAAGGAAATAACCTGTCTTGATTAACATTATAACAATGATAAGCACCACATTTATTTATGGTTTAAAACTTTGTATGAAAAAGTTAAAACAGTCACTTAAAAAACCAGTTACTTCTCTGACAAGGACAGTTGTATAGCTCTTGCTATATGTTCTTCTTCTTCCTTCCTTATGTTCTGTTCCTCCAGTGCAGCTTGGTGAGAAAGTTGAAGTGCTAGAGTCAGTTGAGGATCCTCAGAAGGATCAGTGGACCGCTGGAGGGCACAGCTGTGTTCAAAGTTGGACACAAGAGCAAAATTATTGCAGTTCTGATAGTCGTTCATACTATCCTGTATGGCTCTACAAGAAGAAGTAGGATGTCTTAAACATCTTTTACTGATCAACATTAACAAATGAACACAAAATAGTGCAAGTCTTTCACAAAGTTACATTTAAAAAGAACACTATATTTAAATAAAGTATGTTTTTTATTATTTCACTGCAGTAACGATGCACAAACATCAAACGTTATTTCTCTCTACTTAGACAATGAAAAACATGACTTTCCTTAAACAAAATAATTCTTTAAACAGGAAATTGTTGTTTGAGCAAAAATCATACAATTGACTATCTATGCTCTGTCCACCACACAGAACTGAACCCCCAAATTTTACCAGGATAAGCCCATAAACTTACTGATGACTCACTTGGGGACTTAGGACGGATGATGATTTTAGTTACATTATAAAATCAGTGTTTGCTATATCATTTATGGCTAATACAGTAAATGAAATTTACATTATCTAGACTCGGATCAAAATGGAGAACTATTGGAACCCAAAGATTGGTTATCCGTCACAAAAATACAGAATTGTAAATATACCTATCTCATTGCACTCATAAACGGTGGGTGAAATACTGCTAACTAAATCAGTGGCTCTGTAGAGGTTCTAACTTTCTATAAATCTTTTTTTTTTATGCTTCCTTTTACGAATGCTTAGCGAAACACCTTGTGTTTAAATACACTCACAACTTGTGAAATGTGTATAGCTCTTTATTTTCACAAATTAAAACTGTCTCAAATATCGAACACAGAAGTCACAACCTAATCAATAGAAAAAAAGACATTACTGATAGTAATATAGACAAATTGTATAAATGCTTAGAGCAGCAGTTCCCAACCCTTTTTTTTACCCCACAGTCTGACAAAATCTTTGTAAGAAAGTTACGGGCCATTAGGAATATACAGGTCTATAGAACTGCTTCCTAGCTTATTTTCTTCTAGAAGTTTTAAAGTAACAATTATGAGGCTCAGTGTTCATAACACATGCACAGATTATAGATTCCACAAAAATCAAATTTACATAATGCATTTTTCTCTCGTTTTTTTTTTCAACTCTCAATATCTCTATGAACCAGCAGAGGTCCACACATTAGCAGTTAGGAGCCTCTAATCTAGTATCTGAAAATGATATACATACTAAGCTAGTCACAATTTCAACATAAAACCATACTAATACATCCTACCAATAAACACTACCATACGGATTCTAATTTTACTTTATTAATGTTATTATTATTCCACATTCACACAGGTCCAATAACGTTTTCAATTCATATCTTTAAATTTTACAATTATGTGGAATAAATTGATGAAAAGCAGCGAGACAGTCAGAATAACTTTCCATTTAATTAACTTTTATTTGGATTCGTGTGTATTAAGGCAAATATACGCATATATATATTCATTTTACAACAAATATACTTAAAAAAGTAAAAAACATCCAATAGGTGTAAAATAATGAATCTAAGTTTCAAATGGACAGCAACTGTCTGTTGTAGAAACCTACAAGGTGGAAGACTTTCGAAACGTCGTCCTCTACATTTGTAGGTTTTTACA